CGGCCGCCCTTTAAAGCGCCGGCGGCGGCGCGTGCCGCCTCACCAGCCTCCCGTGGCGCCGCGGCCGGTTAACGGCCCCTTCAGCGCTGCATAAGGCCGCCATGAAGCGTGAACCGGAGTGCCCGGGCCGGCCGGAGCTGCCGCCGCCGTCCTCCCCCATCTCCTCCTCCTCATCGTCGTCGCCCCCAGGGGAGGAGGCGGAGGGCGGGGAGCTGCCGCCGGTGTGGATCTTCGGGTACGGCTCGCTGGTGTGGAGGCCGGGTTTCGAGTTCACGTCGCGCAAGGTGGGCTTCATCCGCGGCTACAGCCGCCGCTTCTGGCAGGGGGACACCTTCCACCGCGGCAGCGAGAGGATGGTAAGGGCGGGGGCGGCCGTTGCGGAGCGGGGGGGGGGGGGCTTTGGGCGGCCGTTGGCGCGGGCTCGGCTCCTAACGGCTCTTTCCCCTTGCCTCTCCCTCACAGCCCGGGCGGGTGGTGACGCTGCTGGAGGACTGCGGGGTGAGTACCGGGCGGGAACGGCCTGGGTGGCGGTGCCCGCATCAGCGGCTGGAAACTGATGTCGGCGGCCGGGTGCTCTTCTGCCCTGCCGGCATCGTGGGTGGGTGGGGGTGTTGTCCTCCTCCACCCCCTGACCAGTCGTGCGGTTACCCCAAAGCGGGGCGGGCTTGCTTTGCAACGTTAGCGGACTTCGCCGCCGCCGCAGTTACAACAACCCGTCGCCACCTTGCTCTTTCCCTTTTAGGCGTGCACGTGGGGTGTAGCCTACGAAGTCCGCGGGGAACAAATTGCTGCATCGCTCCAGTATCTCAACATGCGAGAAGCTGTCCTGGGAGGCTACGACACCAAGCTGGTGAAGTTCCACCCTCAGGACAAAGATGCGGAGGAACCCATCCTGGCTCTTGTTTACATTGCAACACCCCAGAATCCTTCTTACCTCGGCCCAGCATCTGAAGAAGACATTGCAGCTCAAATCATTGTCTCAAGTGGTTGTGCTGGTCATAACATTGAGTACTTGCTGCGACTGGCAGACTTCATGCGCTACTTTTGTCCTCAAGCAGAAGATAAACACCTCTTCTCCATCGAAGAGGCTCTTACTTCCATCCTTCCATGCCTATACTACACAGAAGACTCTCTAGAAGAAACTGCAAGTGTCCCTCAGAAGTCTAAGGGTTGAAATAGAAAATTTTTTTGCAGGGTCCCAGTAGAAGGGACGTAAGGGAGAAAGCAATGGGGACAGTCTTGACTCCAGTAAAACATACTGGACCGAGTGAATAAAGGGAGAATTAGCAAGTAGTAGGGGAGGGAGGAAGTGGAGTAAAACATGCTTGCTGTAGGACTTGCAATTAGTAGCTGTTACACTCCTTACCTGTAGCACTGCGATAACCATCACTGCTTTCCAGTTGGGGAGCAGGGATCTTTGCTGGAACTTTGCTCTGTAAGACTTGCTTCCAGGGGTCAAACCTGAAGCACTCACTTTCTTTAGAGAAGAAAGAGGCTCATCTGTTCTGTGCACTTTTTTAACTTTTTTTTTCTTTGAAGACTAGTTGAGCAGGACTTGACTGGGTTTAAGCAGTATGTATGTAATTCTACCTCAGATTGGCAAAAAGCTGTTTGTGCGTTGGTGGAGACTTGGGCAGGTTCTGCCAAATAAGACTTTCTTTATTTTTTTTTCCCCTGCCATGTCCCACCTCCAGTACAACAACCTGACACTAAATTTCAGGAGTTCTGTGCAATATTAAGTGAACCAGCCTCTGTAGGCTCTTGTGGATCCTACTTACTTGTGTTGTGAAGGATCACAGTAATGCACTTATTTTCTAAAAATGTTGTGCTAATTATGTGTTGTGTTTCCCCTTAGGAGGGGTATCAAAACTGCTCACATGCCACAGTGGTATGCAGCCCACATTCAACCTTGTATTTGTGCCTTCTAGATTTTAAACCAGTTTTCTGAGGAGCTAAGCCTGCTTTAATGACAGAAGCTTTTCTCCAAGCTTCACTGACCTTGTGCTGCTACAGACTTAACTGACTCCATAAGAAATGGTCCTGCCTGTGTGGGAAGTATCTGCTGCCTGCAGGAAAGCTGTCTGGATGCAGCAGCATTTTAACTAGCCCTGTACTGGATAAACCTCTGGTGCTTCAGGGTAATGTGGGATTCTGTAGAAGCATTTGAGTATTCTAGTTCCATGCTGGGATGTCTGTCTGGTACACTTTTATTTGACTGCAAAGGACCGTGACTGAGCATACTTGCAAGTCTTTGAGCTACTGAAAAGCCTGCCTTGATCATGTTAAGCAGAGGCACTGCTGCAAGCTCAGACTTTTCAGCTTCACATATTAACAGCATGAAAACCCATAGTATTTTGTAACAAAACTGCTGCTACTGCAACTGCAGCAAAATAGCTCTTGAGAGCTGACCCCTGGGACATTTGACTCCTCCCAGATACCATGTGGTTTTTTATTATGAAAAAAGATAGGGACTGTTTGTATTACTGTGGCTTGTGTGTATATGAAGTGGTACTGTGCTGTGCCCAGTAATAAAACAAACTGACAAAGTTAGTCTTCTGTACTTTGGTGTTGGTCTTTTTCATTACTGACTTTAAAGATCAAACTGATCCTTCTTTTTACATTTTTTTTTGTTGTGTTTTTTTTTGTTGGGTTTTTTTTTTTTTTTAAAAAACCCAAAACCTTAGCTGGTAATGTTGCTGTAGTTCCTGTAGTTGTTTTTTTGTTGTTGTTTTAAAAAAAAACAAACCCAAACCTCACTGCTGACCAGCTTGCCTCTGCTGGATCTACTGGAAGATACCCATTGACTCTTTCCCTTTGAGAAAAGGGGATTCAGCGACTTTCTTCCCAGCTTCCAGCTCTTGTTGATTCTGGAGTGCTAGTGCTGACAACAGATGTAAGCCAGCCCTCCTGACTGTACAGGGCAGGCCCAGAAATGCCATTCTCCCTTGGTAGGGCAAAGGATATTTTTGTTCCGAGTGTAACCTGGCATTGCTGTTTCCAAGAAGTAATAGTGGAAGGACAAGAAACTGCTGCTGCAGCCGGATCTGTTGGCTGCAGTAAGGGAGAGAGTTATTTCTCTTCTGCCTTGTGCAGTGGGCTGTGTATAGGGGTAGTGTGCAGCTGCCCTTGTGATTCCTCTCATTACCAACTGCCTCAGCACTAGGAGATCACTGTGCCTACCACTATTACCTGCCTTAAGACTTGAGTGATGGAGTGAAAACTAACTGAAACAGCTGAATTTACCACTAATTAAAGGCACGTGCATGTTTCAGGGATAATGGACTAGAGAAAACTATGTTTTCCCTGTTCTGTGGAGGCTTTCACTTCAAATGAGCTGCTGCATCTCCCCATGGGGGCTGTATCCCCCAGATGGAAAATCAAAGGGTTAAAGAATCAACTTACCTGTGGGGGAACGCTCCCTTACTAGTACAAGACTGGGGTCAGATACCAAAATATCTGCAGATAAAACAAAAACTTCTTCACACTTTTCAAAGGCACAAAGACACCACTGACAGGAGTTGATAGCAGATAGGCACTAAGCAACCTGCATCACCATCTCATGTGGAGATCCCCTTGCTTTGTTCATCCTGTTTAGCCTGGGTTGGCCCTGTGATCTTTCACATCACTGGTAAAAAGCAATGACTGCTTGTGAACAACCCATCAGTGCTAGGACTGTTCCTTCAGCTGCTGTTTCTTCTTCCCTTGAAAAATTAAGTATTTTAAGCACAGATCCCCTGCTTCACTGAACTACTCTTTTCTTCCCAATGAGTTCTTTCCAGTGGAATTCCAAAAAAAGGACCCCATTTTCTTTTCAGGAGTGGTGAATGTGGCGGCTTGCTGCTGTCATCCTGTCACTGCAGCTTCAAGTCACTAAGACAGACAACAAGGTATCACATAACTTCTTTCTCCTGAGGCTTTTATTGTGTCCTCTGAGCCTAGGAACAGGTCACGTTTTGGTCAGTTGATGAATTTAAAAGGTTAACATCCCAGATTTGAACTTTGGCCATGTGACTGAGGAGAGACAGCACCCTGCAACATTTGCTATATGCCCACCTTATGATGTTTGTACTGCTACTCACAGACAGGGGACCATGGTGGCTTGCCTCTGACAAACCAAACATGAGGAAGAGAATTGCTGCTTGGAGGCAGTCACACAGCCACGGCGCTTGGGCGTGCCGGGCCAACGGTGGCACACAAGGACAGTATCCCACCCCCTACATGTTTCACTACAGGCTTCCTCTCCTCATGTCATGACTTGCCAGCCCCAGGCAAAGCAGCTGGCTGCAGGTTCTGGCAGCTCTACCACTGGCCTGGGAAAGAGCACTCACTTTGTCAGAGGGTAAGACAACCGCCCTCGTTTGCGAAGTGCTGCCTGACGTTTCTGGAGGTGCTTCCCTATCTAGTGGCTTCCTCTTGCACATTTCTCTTCTCTGACTTCCCTATAACAAGCTCGTGCCTATCAGGTCACCTTACATTAGAAACCAGTTGCAATAGGAACATGTTTACAAGCGCTATCAGTCACATACTTCCCAAGTCTAAAACCAGCATAATTCATATGATTTCAGTCCCTTCTTCAACCTTTTCCATTTTCTTGCCCGGCAGCTCCCACACAGCCCTGGGACACCGGCCTGAGTCACCAGTACCTTGAATATGTTAGGACAGGACCTACCCAGCTGCTTTGCAGTGGCACAGCCGGCTAAATAAAGTAGATGACAACAGCTAATCCAGCCCTGGCCTTCATATGTATAAAGCACTCCTGAGGGCACATGGTCCTTAATAGGGCAGGAGAAAGGATAAACAAACTCTGCAATGTTAAAAGGATTCAAAGGAGACAAAACCAGAAGAAAAAGTCTCTGGTTCTTAGGTGCTACAGTATCATTCAGTTTCAAGGTGGAGTGTCAAGAACTGAGGAGACTTCACACAGATAAATCTCTACCAAGGTGACTCCAGCTTTAGTAAAAATGTAGTTTAAATATAGCATCACCAAAGTGTGAACTTACCTGTGCTTTGTGTACTCTTCTAGATGAGATGCCAGGTCAGAAAATTAACGAGACCAAACTCGTAGTTGTGGTTATTGGCAATACAGGCATGCAGCTTAGCGAGGGAGGGAGGGAGGTGGTAGGAGAGGATGGTGGCCTAGGAAGAGGGCTGGGGAACAGACCAGCCTTCCTCAGCTGGGTGGAAAAGCGGCCAACAGCCTGGCTGAGTCTACCTGAGGAGAATGTACATTTAAGCATCCAGAAAGTGGGGCCAGCGCAGACTTTGAAGGCTATTGAGGAGCCAGTGTGGGATCTCAGTCCCAGGAGGAGCTGAAGGGGAGAGGCACAGCTCCACGTGCATACCCACCGTCTCGAGAGGGTCCCTGGGGCTCTGCCACACGTGGCGGGGAGAGGCTTGCAGGTGGCATGCAAGTCACAGGGAACGGCACATGCTGGATTGAGCAGCCGTTACAGGAGCTGCAGCTGGTTGTATGTAGCGCATGTGTTATTCCATATGTGTCTGCTTGCCACTTAAGAGACAGGCTGAAATGTGGATTTAATTACCTACAGATGTTTCACAGGCAGAGGAAAAGCAAAAGATTAAAAAAACCAAAGAATGCTTATCGCTGCTCCTGGACAGCCTCTGCAGCGATACACAGGCTGTCCGGCCGATGCAAGCAAGAGAGCAGCCGGTGCTCTGCTGTTTCGGAATCTGCAAAGGCTGCGCTCTGACAAGGGCTTCCCATCTGCAGTGGAGGCTGGACAGCACTTCATGCACGCTGTATACAGAGCAGATGTGTCCAGAAACAGCGTCTGGCTTGCTAACAGCCCGTTCTTCTGCTCCTGCTACCAGGAAAGATTGGATGGTGAAGCAGGGGAAAGAAAGAGGGTCTACTGGGTGTACAGCTGCGCCAGGACAAGTGAGACTGACTTTGCGTAAAACATCCAGCACAAAACACGCAGACGTGGTCACCTGTGCACTTCAACGCTTCTCCATGTAACACCTTCCAGAGAGTTCAGTGCCCGAATGGTGGCATTGCCAGCATGTCCCAAAACCTGGCAGTCAATCTAGGCCTGGAAGTCCTTCGTGAAACTTTAAATTGGGTTATATCACCTTCAGCTCAATAACCTCATCCCAAAGGCAGAGAGGAAAATGGCTGAGCAGTATTTGGATGGGAGATTTTCCCCGGGTCAG